GAGGCGAGAGAGAGAGGGCGAGAGACGAGAGGGCGAGAAGAGAGGCGAGAGAGAGGGGGCGAGAGAGAGAGCGCGATGAGAAGCAAGGCGCGGCGAAGAGAGAGGCGAGAGAAAGGCGAGAGATGAGAGGGCGAGACGGAGCGGAGACAGAGGGAGGGCACGAGAGAAGAGGGAGGGAGGAGAAAGGAAGGAGCAGAAAGGGGAAGCGGAGAGACGAACTCTCTCTCTCTCTCTCTCTCTCTCTCTCTCTCTCTCTCTCTCTCTCTCTCTCTCTCGTCACAAGCTTAGCTAGCTTAGTGTGTTGTTCTCTACATATGTATGTAAAAATTTTAAAAATAGAATAAAAAATAAAATAATACTTATTTTAAAATAAAATCTGTATATGGCTTGCAATTAGATAGCTTTATTCACTTGAGTGAATTATGTCCTCATGCTATTGTGTTCATGACCTAAACTTTCTCTGTTGTGAATAAATTGGAACTTATAGTTCTTGTTACACAATGAATAATTCACATTTTGTAGATAAAGTATTTGTTGGTTATTTTCATAATTTCAATAATTTGTTTCCTTTGAAGTTTGAATTAAAAAGAGTCCTTTTGATATTTTTTTACTAGGAAGATGCATTTTTTAATGAAATAGACCGAAGTTTGTACTGGACACAGTCTAATTACAATTTAAAATGCCATTGACAGACCAACACTTATTGACAATGTGTAGTATGCTGGGAATAAATTTTAATATTCCATTCATGTGTTATTTTGAAGTTTTGAAATGTCAACTGCTTGATAGTTTTTTTGTTTATTATTTTGTATTTGTTTCTGATATTTGGCTCCATTCACTAACATTAGACAATTAAGTAAAACAGTAGATAGTATTATGTACTTGGTGTACTTTGGATCTCAATTGTTGACCTTCCTGCCTTGAGGATGATTGTTTAGGTTACCTTGTTGCACAGCTACATTCCAGGAAATACAAAAGCACTTGCACATGTGATGTCAAACTTTTCAGTGCACTAATATTTTCAATATTTTATACCAGGTATAAATGAAAATATTCCACCGCCACCCCTGCCTGTGCTCTTGGCATCTGCTCATGGGCAATCAAGTGTCTCAGCACCAGACTCAAGTATGCCTGTGGCTCCAGGAAGATCTGCCTTGCTTGATTCTATTTGCAGCTTCAATAAGTCTGCTTTACGTCACACAAATACTAAAGAATTGGTGAAAACTTCTGGTAGAGTGTGCCCATAAATTATTTGTGTTGTACTGTGTGGTTGTGGGAGTTGTAATGCTCTTTACTGCAAGAAAGTGAATGTTACCATTAAATGTTTTTCTGGATAATCTTTCCAGCAATCTGAGGTACAGTATATTTTCATACTCGTGTATTTTTGTAATTAGAAAGAGGAATTTAGTTTATCAACAGGTTGAATTGGGGTAAAAGTTTCTTTTATATTTAGGGTGAGCTACATAACAGAAATTATTCTTATGTGTTTCCATTTAAATGTCAGTGCTATTGAATACATCATTCCAGAAAGTTTTAATTTGTTAAATATAAACTGTGAATGTATCTTGAGTATGATGAGCATTATTTTAGATATGTTATATCTAAGCTTACGAGACGACAGTAGTTAAGTTGAGCAACATGTGAGGTGTTTTCATGATTTATTAAATTTGTTTCATTGTACATATTGTATCTGAGGAAGTGGTTATTCATTTTGAATTTTGAGGCAAAATTATTGTTTTCCTTTATGAGTGAGTTTGATAAATTCTAAGATCTTAACTTTATGTTGGGTACCTGCATAATTGTATTTAGCATTTCTTTGGCTATTCCATTAATATAAATAAACAATAGTGATTCTTATTGTTGAGGAATGGTTTTTAAAAAAATATGCATTTCAAATGGTTTCTTGATAGAAAACTGAAAAATATGTATGTCCTTGAATTTTTTTTTTTTTAATAAAAATTGTTGTTTGTTGCTTTTTACTGGCCCTAAAACAAGGGGAGCATTTCAGTCTTAATTGTATTTGACTTATTCTTTTTCTTTCATTTTTATTTTCTTATCAGTTTTTAATGTGTTTGGATAGCTTGATGTTGAATTTAATATTTCGCTCTGTGATGAGTCTTATCATTGTGTATCTGAGTCTGAAACAAGTTTAAAACTATTAGTAGGTAGTGTAAATGCCGGTTAATTGTGGTCAATTTTTTGATTACATTTAAATAAGTTTCAAGTATTCATCAAGTTTCCTTTCACTTTTCCATTTGTGTATGACTGATTTTCTTCCAAAATTATTTTTATACGGATAATATTATATAGCTTGAAGAAATCATTAAAAATGTGTGCTGTATAAAATACTTAATTGATGTTTGATTTTATATGTATTTGTGATTTGTGTATTGTAGAAATTAAAGCAAAGTTGAGAAAGAGTTGAGAAAGAAAATTTCTGAATCGAATATTTGTTAGATATATTTTTAAGATTTTGAATGAGCTGATTTTTTCAGCATTTCTTTGGTTTCTTTTCAGATTACTAGCATCAGAAATATCAATAGCAACAATGAAACAAATGTCCAGCAAAAGATATTTTATAGGCTGGCTAGCAGTTTCAATTGTTAATATTGTATTTTCTTTTATTACAATTGAAATGTGTATAAGTACACATGCCATGCAAGAGACCTTTGAAAGCAAATGCTTGATGATCAGTTTTGACTGAGGTTCAGTCCATGAAACCATTATTTGGAGTGAATGTTAGTCTTTGATTAAGTTACTTTTTCGAGATAATATTGGGATATTTGTGGTATATTTTAGGTGGCAAAATTTAGACTTTTTATGGACCTAATTGAATCCAAAATTCTATTCTCTCATAATTCTTTCCATAAATATTTGTAAATATTCTGTTCTAAGTAAGTATCTATCTGGACATTATCATTGTAACATTTTTATAATATTAATTTTATCAAAAGAAAGATGCTCAAATATCACATACTTCAAAATTTTGTTTTTATTTTCTGGAAAAAAAAAAAAAGAAGTGAAAATAGGCTCATGCATATGAGAAAATTAAAAATATTTTTCAACTCTGAAAGAATCTTGACGTATTAGTTCTTGACTATATGTGAATGTTCATTAAATTGTGTTAAATTACTTGTTAATAATGAAACATTGTGAACTTAGTTTGAAACATTTGCATTTCCTCCTGTTCTTCGACTGAACTACTGTTTATGTAAGTTAATCAAACATATTTTTGCGAAGAATGTTAGAGAAATGATTTACAGGTTAAGTGTTAATTTTAAGGGAATTTATATTGAGTGCTGAAGAAATTTTTAGGGTTAATATGAACTTTATACCAAAGGGTTTAGTTCAAATTATTATTGATATTCTGAAAGTGTAATCTTAATTTGTATATATTCCATGTTTCTTGATGTGATTACAGGAAATAACTTGCATATGTAAGCAGCAAAAGCGAGTGCTGTTTAATGGATAGATCAATTTTTGGGAGCTCAAAAACTCATACTCAACAGTGCCTAATTATATCAGTCAACATATTAGGCTATTGTTTCTATGTAGACCAGATGGTAATGAATATAACATTTATAATCTAAAAAAATTGGTTTCAGCAGAAGGGCCTTCTTTTGTAATGCTTTTGCACTGAAATACATTTTTGTATTTTGCATATTATATTATTATAATAACAAGTAATTGTACAATATTTTGTTGTAGTTAAGAATGGGTGTTCTTGAAATTGTTTTCTTAATTCTGTGTAATGATAGCCCAAGACCTTGTAATTATCTACATTTAGAATAGATATGTTTATATAGTCAGTTTTTTGTTGCTTTTGGAGAGGAAAGCAAATATAGTTAAGTTGTTAATATACAAATCTGAATCACTGCTATCAGATTTCTATTAGTAGGTTCATTGCGTTTGCACATCGTGTGCTGATCTGTTTAATATTTTTATTACTGCACTTGTATTAATGCAATTGCAGAGTGTTTATTCTGCTGAAACAATTTTTTTTATGAACTATTTACTCATAATATTGCTGTTGCAGCTGACATCTTTCAGAATTGCTGATTTTGTATTCATTTACTAGATGTTGTGATGATGCTTACTGTTCCCAATCATTGTTTTGGAATATTGGGTGATTTTATGAATTACAATTATTAGTAAACATAAAATGTCAGTTCTTATTGTTATGTGGCTTTTAATCCAAATAAGGCATTGCCTTTATTGTATCATGGAAGGCATTGATGCAACATGACAATTTCTATGTTCCTTTTTTAAATGGAGTGTGAATCGGTACAGTATTTAGGATTAAGTATATCAGATGTTGCTGAAGGAAAATATTAAGCCTTTATGTTGTGAAAAAATGTAAAGTTCTTTATTAGAATATATTTACTGTAAAAAAAAAAAGTATTTAAATGATCTGTTATACTTCAGATGTTTATATGGTTTTCATCAAATATCAACTATTTGTTCTGGTTCCTGTGTTATATAATAAGAAATTTTAAGAATTGAATTGTTAATCTTGGCATTTTGAATGGCTCAGTTAATCAATATTTAGGGGTACTTAATTGTCATCACTACCATTTCCAATTTTGGAGGTGATTGGTGGAAAGTTTTTGACTTCAAAAATATATTTAGTTATTTGATGTATTAGTGTGAACAGAATGGCAAAGGTATTGCAAGATTTTGTGAATTGGGTGTATTGTAGGTAGGTGTTGTATACATTTTGAAAAAATAAAAAAAGTGCATAGTACATATGCATATAAAGACAGTATTTATACACAAGTTGAAAAGCTCTTAGTTTTGTTTTACTCAAATTTGAATTTTTTACTTAGAGAAATTGGACTTAAATTTATTTACATTGGACTGAAATTTATTTACACTTCACAATATAACCAGTAGATATGTTTAAAATTTTGTGATAACTAGAATATTGCCAAAAAGAGCTACAGTCTGCTTTCCACAACTCATTTTACTAATAATGTATGTGAATCAGTGTTTGAGAGAAATCCAAACTGACAATGCAGGTAACATGTATGCAACCCTTTCTGAAGGCTTTTTGTGGTGAATACTATTCCTTGAAGTATGTGATGTGATCACAGAAGTAGATAATATTTTGATTAGAGGATCATTTGAACATTGCATTGTGTTGTAGAGAATTAATGAATTAAGTGTCAATTGATGTTCTATTTAAGCTGTCATTGAATTAACTGCTTCACTGAGACATCAAGTGCTTGACTGTATTGCTATTGATTCTGAAGCATGTGTAAGCCAAACAGTGTTGTCCTATGTGAACGGTGTGGTCATTGCTAGGTTCCCTACCTTTCACCAGTCTGGAATTAATAATTTAAAACATTCAAACAATAAAAGTGAATGTGAATGTAATTGTATTGGAATTATGACTTGAAGCGAACTACTAAGTATTTATTTTTATGAAAATATGTTTCAGAAAGTTAAAAGAAAACACTTTTTTAAAGAAAAGTTTTTAAATGTGGACTGATATTTGAAAAAATATGACTTTAAATATTCTTTGTGAAGTAGAATAAGAATACAAATATAAAGCTGAAAAAAACATGTTGCATTTTCTGTATCTGCTTTGTTCATAATTGCCATGATTCATGCTTAAGCTGTTGGAAATTTGTTATCAATGTTTGGAACTGAACATTTTCTTCTTAAAACTTATAGAACTGAAAAAGTGGGATTTCCAGCTGGCCTTGTTTCAAATACAGCTAAACATTCAAAATATCCATTTAATCCTAACTTTGGATCAGACTTTCAATTCCAATGCATTGTAAATTAAAAAGGGTTAAGAAATTGTATATTCCATGCATTTGAATTAATGAATTTAATTAGATTAATTCATTAAAATCTTGTTAAAAGTACATTCATTGAAGTCTTCATGTAATTTATTTCCTTTTGTTCAGAGTCAGGGTTAAATGTGTTGCACATCACATTGCAGTTCTTAAGATAAAAACAGTTTTGTGCTCCAGTATAAACGTCCTAAAATTAACTTTCAAAAGTTATTTTTTGACTCGGGAGTTATAAAATTGTGTTAGCGATGGAAAGAGATTGATCAGATTTATGAATCGTGTTATTTTCTCATATATATTGCTGCTAATAAAAAGTGGTTTCGTAAGATAACCAATACATTTTATTTTGTGTTTCTGAAGGTTTGTGAACAAATATTTTCATTTACTTTATTGTTTGTTTATTTTTCCCTTTCATCGTTAGTAATTTCTGATTCTTATTTACATTTGGAATTTATAGTTTTGTCTCGAAGAAAATAGAATAAACATTAAAGAAATAGTGAGAATTGTAATGTACTCTTTAGTTTTAAAATGCCTTCAATCTTTGTTTATCACAATGGGGCAAGTTGAGTCTATGATTTACACTACTTAATATTTTTTACATTTAGAATGGAAAGTTATTCCTTTGGAGACATTTTACGATGAGATAATGTCATTTTATTTTAAATTCACTTGTTTTCTGTATTAGACACAATTTCTGCAAAAGTAGTACATGTTGTGGTGCCAGTGTTTTGTGGTTTTGTGAACAATAGATGGAATTGAATTATCATTTTATCTGTGATTGTTGACAAATCTATGATTTTTCTTATGGATGTGATAACTTAATGCATTTTGTGTGTTTAGCTCAAAGCAGTTGTGAATAATAAGATATCAGTATTTGTGTATCTAAACTAAATATGTAATTGTTTTCATCTATCTGTAAGATTTGTATATGTTACAGTCTTAGCCTCATTATAAACATAAATGTTTTATGTCTATTCATGTTAATAAATGAAAATTGCATTTGTTGTTGTAAATACTGTGTAATTCAATTGAGAATCTCTTTGGAACAGTATTAGTCACAAAGTCTTCAAATATTTGGATGATTGGGATATTAGCTGAGAATTCATAAAGCTTTCAAGTTTCTTTTATTTGTATTAATTCAAATTTGCATTTTTATTAATTCAGTGTAAGTTGTATTAGTTCAGTAATGTTAATCTGCTATAGCTAAAATGGATTTTCATGTTGCGCATCAACCCGAAATATGCCTCCTTATATCAATCATTATTTCATCCAAGCTATAAGTGTTCCTATTTGAAAATAATGAGCTTCCTATTCAGAATTTTTCTCTCTACACCATAAAAGCTTCTTAAAACATTAAATTAAAATTTCAGCAGGGGTAATGCTGAATATTCCATTAGACTTTATTTCTTTCCACCTAATTTGATATTACAGTCTAATGTGTGTGTCTTACAGATATCAAAAAAATCTGATAACTGTTTTATTTATTTATCAGGTGCACATCTTTGGCTACAGGTATTATTAGAAATAAAAATTTCATTGCCTCTCATCTAGTTATTTGGTTGTGTGTCTTTTTGAAGTTGTAGGCTTCTGTGATCAGAGTTATGTGAATGCTGTCAGCTGTAGAGGTGACAACACATCAAAGGCTGTTTTGCTGATCTTTCCATCGTTTTGTAGTCATCTGCAGGACTGAAGAAGCACTTCAACTCTGAACAAGACTCACAGAGATCAAAATGTTGGTAACAGACTTTGACGTGGTGTCACCCTGTGCTCTGAAGAAGACTAAGGTTGCTTCAGCACTTATAAAACTGTAACAAAAATTGTCAAAATATTGACCACACAGCCTTCGACATTACATCACCCAGACAGATGAGTGTGTTATGTGAATTTTTATTTGAAGGCTTTCATAGACTTGTAGACTGTTAGTTTTTAACCATCTTGGTGTTTCTTCAACCACCTGATGTTTCTTTTGTTAATGGAGCTTGTATCGCATAGTAATATTTGTTTATCATGTTGTATACCGTACACCAATTTATTTTCATTTTTGTGTGTTGTTCCACCAAGAAATGAATTTAAAAGCAAAGCAGTTGAGCTAGTTTTTAACTCATGAAATTAAAAAATTGGCCTAATTATTTTGTTTTGCCATCCCTGCAGCTCATATAGTTTGTAAGAAACTGATCTGTTTCTACTTGTATAAATACAAGTAGAATTTATTTCTTCTTGTAAAAAATTTAGTTGTGCCATTTTTAATTAAGTATATATTGTGATATTGTTAGTAATAAAATATAGTAAGGGACTTGCTGGAAATATATCACCGGTGTTCCATATTTCATTTGCCTAGTCATGTATTTTCTGTTATGTACGTGGATGATCTTGGCAATTGATGCCTGAATTATTGAATATATATTGTAGCCCAACAAGCATGCTTTGTGTGTAAGCTCATTGTACTATTGTTCTTTCAAATGTCCAACATCAATATTGCTAACAAATGACATTTAACAATATATAAAACATTTTCAAAAATGTTCATGTCTGTTGAGTGAAGTGAATAAATGGTATCATATGTCATGCATAACTAGATATTGTTATTGTCTTTACCTTATTTCAGAAAGCATGGTGCATTGCAACAATTTGCATGTAAAAGAAAGTTTCGATTGTTATTGTGCATATGTGACAAGTCATTCAATTAAGAATCTCTTTGGAATAGTATTAATAACGTCTTCGATTTTTGGATGATTCGAATATTACTTGAGAATTCACAAAGCTTTCAAGTTTCTTTTATTTATATTAATTCATACATATATTTTTATTAATTCATTGTAAGTTGTATTAGTCCAGTAATGTTAATCTCCTATTGCAAAAATGGATTTTCATGGTGAAAATCTACCCGAAATATGCCTCCTTAGTTAGATCAATCATTATTCATCCAAGCTATAAGTGTTCCATTTTGAAAAATACTGTTACTTTCAATGAATACTTCCTATGCTTAGAGAGATCAGACAATTACTTATTTCAAAATAATGAGTTCCTAATAACATTTCTTACTAATAGTATATAGAAGTCGCTTTCGATTTTGTATTGAAGGGGGGAGCGAGCACGACATCCTCGTATCGTTTTGCATCATTGTGCTTCTGATGGAATCGGCGTCGTTATCGTTGGCTCCGTGAAGTCACGGAAGTGAGGCAACTTGAGACACAACGGAGTCCTAGATGGGTCGTCCGGGAACCCCGGTTATTAATGGCGCCGAGTCGCCGGCCAAAGGGATAAAAGACGATGACTGCGACGTTACAAGGCAAAAGATGGAGGATTACTCCATTAGTGTCAATACCCAAAATCCCCAATACCCAATAACAGAATTTGTCAGGTTATATTAAAAACAGCTAAGATTACCGGGTTTTCAAAAAGAGCAATAAAAATGACCATTTTCAGTCAATTTCGCTTTTGTCAGTTTTTCTTACAATTTTTAGATTAAAACAAATATTGTGAAAATCAAAATTAACAGAAACCATGTTTCCTTTCCTAAATTATATTGATTCACAATTAGTTAAAGTAATACCTATTATTGCCAGGGCATGATTTCTGGCGGAATGCGACCGAAAGGCGTTCTGGTACCTCATAATTATTATTTGGGGCATTTTTTATTAGAATGTTTTCTTTAATTTCGCTAGGGGGGCTAAGCGATTTCGTTGTTTCTTAAGAAAATATGTGATATGAAACATCAAATATTTAATTTTAATTATTATGAGCATATACCGAACATAAAAGACGCTGCACTCATTGCTACCAATGTGCGCTGGCAAGTATAACATAACACTATCGAAATGATTACATTTTTACTTTCTCCCTACGGAGTAGAGAGAAAGTTACGTAATGCTGCACGAAAAAACTGCGAATTTTCGGCAGAAAAACTTTTTTACAGAGCCCTGGTAACGCAAAATTGAATAAATACAGTGGCAAAATTTGGGGGGAGGGTCTATCACGTGATGTAGCGAAAATCCATGTTTCGTGGGTCCTTCATACCGAAAAATCGAATGATGGCAAAACGTCTGTCCGTCAGTCTGCAAACAACGCTAGCGGCTAAACCGTTCTGCCTATTTTCTCCAAAATTGATATTCCCCAATCCATCTGGCCGATGTCACACCCCCTTGAATTTGAAACAGATATTTTAATTTTGGGGGTTACTTTACGTGAAGCCCTTGGACATTTTCAAAAAATGAATCCATCGTTTTTTATTAAATTTTGTAGTTGGTTATTGTAAAGGACGTTTAAGAGTATGGTGCAGGTCTCATTGGTTGAAAACCCTGATTTTTCGAAAATTGCAAATGTTCAAAATATTTTCGGAATTTTACTACAACTAAAATATTAAAGATAGAGATTTTTCCCTTAGTGAAATCTGTTCCTGGAAGATATGTTTTGAAAAAAAGCTATGTACAATTTTTCGAAAATTTTAGTACTTTAAACGTAATTTTGCGTGAAAATACGGGGAAGGAAGATACGTGCTGTTTTAGCACCACTAGTTACAATAGTGAAGGACTTAATACTCCATTTTTCAGTCCCTTTTTTCATTTAAGACAACCACAATAAATACATCAAATTAAAACTTTTATCTTATTAATATTGAAGTATCCACGCAACATGTATTTTGACTACACAACTGTGTGTCAAGTGTTAGAAGTACTTTACTATACATATAGGAACACGATTTGTTCACTTTTACGTTTCCAGAGCCCGCAACAAGAGTTTTGGCGACGAAAATTCTCCGTTTTCCGGCGCACGATTACAATACTTTCTTTTTTACGTAAAAGCGAGAAAGTAAAAGAAAACTTTGTACTTATTTTCAGTATCTTTAATTTTCTATCTTTCTTTCAAAGACAGTACGTGATTCATCCGGGCATTTAGCTTAACTTGGCTCACTGTATTTTTCAGTCAAGTTTGATTCGACTTGTCGACAAACTCCTCCCATAACCTATTGAGCTCACCGCAACTGACAATAGCTTGTACACGAGTTCAAAGTTGAGACCACAGTGGCGGTTTTTCTGAGGCTTCGCCGCTCTCACATTTTATTCGTATGAATGTTAGTAACCAGTTAAATATTCACTCTGAAGTTTGATAGATGCACGGTTTTTGAATTGGTAGCAATGAGGAAATTTATTTTGACCCAGTGAGGCAGCGTTACGCAGCTGCGTTATATAGGGGCAAGGGGGCATTCCATTAATGTTACGTAACATTGATCTCTTTTATATTGTTTAACATTTGTTGAAATACTTCCTTTTTTGAGTCTTATACTAACACATTAAAATATTATCTAATTAATTTGTTTTAAAACAAATAATTTAAAGTTATTAGAAGTTGTTACAATAAATGGAAATATATTTTCATCACTTTTGTATCGAATCTGTAAGATTACGAAGAACATATTAAAAACTGTTCTGTAGTGTTTTGAAGACTTTAATTAAATTGGCGTAATAGACCCATGCGCCAACCACAACGACGGCGTGTGCACCGCTTGTGATAAGAAATTTTCTCGCCCGTGCGTCCTTCCTTCTCTCAAAATGCCCCCAAACTTATTGTTAGGTACAATCAGCATCAACAACTAATTCCGACTTTAATTATAATAAATTTTAGTACACACAAATAGAATGAATACTGAACTATAATTTATTTTCACTTCTTGCATTTACAAGAGAGGCCGCAAGCGTTATGTAATTATTTAGGGTGGTTCAATCGCGCTTCACAGGGAGGAGAGGGGGTATTCAGAATACTCCAAATTTCCGTTACGCAATTTGCGGACGGCCCCTTAGGAGGAGAAACAATCAAAATCAACTGGAGTCGTTAAGAAAAGGAACTCTTAGCTTTTCCCTATCTGGTGTGTTAATCGTCCTCTCGCAATGCTCCTGATGTCAGAAGAGGTAACGTTTTTAATGGAGTTGTATGACAAAGGGAGGAATTTTCCCATTGAAGTGTCATCTATTGGTTTCTTTTTAAATCACAAGAACGAGTGTCACACTCCGGCAGCCAAGAACTAAACTAAAGTACATGGGTGCACCAAGTCGACTTGATACCTTTCCATACTGGATAACCTGCTTTATGTAGGGCACACAGTCTAGGTCATCAGCCCTCCCGATTTCTAATGACTTCATTTTACTTTCTTCCTATTTCTCTGGAAAGTAAAAGTACATGTTCTTTTCTGTATTCTACTCAGATTTTCCCGTTGAAGTTTGTTTTAAGAGTCCAAGCAAATCGATCGGTATTCCATTAAGTAAGTCATTTAATACATTTGACATAATTGAACGTTATTCGTACATCTTCAGTGTTTCATTCAGCTCACATGATCATTGTAGCGACTCCTAGCACATTTCTAACTTCTTGGAATGCCTCCCAGATTCTGACCAATGAGAAGGCTTAATTTGGGGTTGCGGGATATACATGGTTACGATTTAGAAATATGCCAGGGTCAGCCGAGGGAAGTGTAGCAGGGCAGGCGGGTGTAATCTTAAAATGTGGATGGTCGGACGCCGCCGCGCAGCCGACTAAGGGGCCTTTCGCCCATCAAGAGCCGACGCATCGAATCTAATTTCGTTGGATGTTCTATTTGAAGTCGATTGTGCAATTGTCTTCTCCTGCTACGGAACAAACATAAGTTGCCACTGGTTGAGAGTGAGATCTCGCTTCACTTGATTTTTCGGGTTATTCAAACTGATTTCAAGATTTTTTATTTAAAACCAATTTCTGTTCACTAAGTCTGCAGAATATAGGGAGTGAAATATCGATATTAAATACATCATTGTGAATGTCTACGTACTCATCCGCTCCATGTAATAATATGTAAGAATAATTTATTTACAAAGTATTCATTGGAATATATAACAGTAAGCGAGCAAAAGAATCATGAGGAATAAGAAAATTTAGTTATAATTTGAATGTCTCTTGAACACAATTGACCTCATTTTTGCATAACTATAATTCATTGAGTCAATCTGGTATACAATAAAATCTTGCGTTAAGAATGAACCGACCTCGCAGGAGTAAAATATTTGTATCGCATTTTGATGTAGCAAATAAAACATTACATCGTAGTAAATGTTTAGTTTCTAATTTTCAAGATTATGATGGCATTTAGATTGGGCTAGATATATCTAAGGTTTATTCATTATCATTATATCTTTGTGGATACTTCGTCTTCTTTGAAATAAATTCCTAATGAATTCCCATAGCTTCTTTGTTCCTCCTATAATTAATGCTGCATTGATGCCTCCTTTACCAATTGCTTTTCAATTTTTTAAAGATTTAATGACTGTTTCTAATTTTGACTTATCTAAATTCAATACATAATTTTTCAATTCTTTAAATACATCTATAGTTGTTAAATACTGACTCCGTCTTTCAATTACCTATTCTTCAAAGTATTGTTTCCATTTTTGCAATAAAATTCTCTCTAATTCTATTTTGT